TCCCTCGTCGACACCCTCAGCAGGGACTGGGACTTGGGCCACGCCGCCAGCAGGGACTGCTTGCTGAAGCACTCTGCCGAAACTCGATGCGGTGTCCTCGCGGATAGTACGTAACCGTTTGACCGCCTTGCAATTGGCGGACTTGACCAAGAGCTTCTCCATGCGATCTTGCTGTGTAGCTTCAAGGGGCCCTTCACGTGCACGCTTGCGAAGAGACTCCAACTCATCACGCTGAGCATCACCATACTCTGAAGCCATCTCGGAGTCGGCGTCATCCTCCTTGACCGCGTTGACGTAGATCCGTTGGAGCTCCTGCCAGAACTCGAGCCGCTGACGATGCTCCGCACACCAGCGCGCCAGACCCTCTTCATCAAGCTGAGCCAGATTGGGAGGATGGAGCACCGCCTGCGGAGCGCCCGCGCCAGCCGCCGCGCCGCCGCCCGCAGCAGCGGCATGAGCACCCACGGGGGCAGCAGGCGCAGCACCTCCTCGCGCGCCGCCACCTGCGACAGGAGGAGCGCCCGACGCGCCGCCAGCACCACCGCTAGGAGCAGCCCCAGCGCCGCCAGCAGCACCAGCGCCACGCGCCGCGCCAGCCGCCATGGCCGCCTGCGCCTCGTACAGAGCGCGGGCGGCCTCGCCACGAACTCGGTCTTCTTCCTCGCGCTGTAGGCGTCGGAAGTCGGCCTCCACGAAGCCATCCTTCGCCACCGTAGCCTCACGAAGCAGGATCTGCTTGGCTTGCAGCACCTGCAACGCCTCTCGATGTTGAGCCTCAGCTGCGTGAAGAGCTTCTCGATGGCGAACCACTGCCGCCAGCCGAGCTTCCACGTCGCCTTGAGCAATACGTTCAGCTCGTGACTGCACCTCGACCTCCTTCGCCAAGGCAGTACGCTTCGCAGCCACGAGCTTCTCCATCTCATTCTCTGTGGCAGGCTCAGGCGGGGGAGCAGGTGGCGCACGCGGTACCGCCGCGGCCGCCGCGCCAAGCTCCCCAAGCGCCCCTGCCAAGTGCGGGTACTTGGCCGCCAGCCACTCAAGATCACCAGCAGCATCACGGCCACCAGCGTCCTGAGCCACGGGCTCCCCTGAGTCGAGGTAGCGGCCACCACACTTGCTGCAACTCCAGTTGCCGTACTTGTCGAACTCCCAGTGCCCGCAGGCACCGCATACTGAGTAGGTATCTCGACGCTGGGCATCACGACCCCATGCGCCGCCGTAGACTCTCTTGCGGCCTCCGCGCCCTTGGTGCCAGGGGGCACGCGACCGCCACGACATGAACAGCCAGCGGGGGCCCAACTCCCGCAGTGAAGGCCAGCAAACAAGCTCACTAGATATGAAATGCTCGGCAGAGCAGGCCTGGTGGCAGGGCAGCACACCAGGGAACACACGCCAAAAACACCCGAGCCTGCCGCACGGCTGCGGACAAGCTCGAAGCCTCGCGGCAAGGTTTCGAACTTGAGCCAAAATGGCTACGGAGGGGAGGAGGAGGAGGAGGCGGAGGAGGAGGAGGAGGCGGAGGAGGAGGAGGAGGCGGAGGAGGAGGAGGAGGAGGAGAGAGCAGGAGGAGGGAGGCGGAGAGGAGGCGGAGGGGAGGAGGATGCGGAGGAGAGGAGGAGGCGGAGGAGGCGGAGGAGGAGGGAGGAGGAGGGAGCGGGGTGGGTATGAGGAGGGGGAATGGGGAGGGGGTAGGAGGAGGAGGCTGGGGATGAAGGAGGAGGAGGAGGAGGAGGAGGAGGAGGAGGCAGGAGCGGAGGATGAGGAGGAGGAGGAGGAGGGCGGAGGAGGGTAGGAGGAGGAGCAGAGGCGGAGAGGAGGAGGAGATTGGCGGAGGAGGAGGAGATAGATGACGGCGAAGTTAGGATGATTGGGTCTTCTGAGAGGGGGCCCCCCTCTCTGCGCGTGGCTCCCGGGGAGGGCCCGCGCCGCGCGCGCGAGCGCGCGACGCCGCGCCCGACGCGGAGCTCCCCCCCCCCCGCGCGGCCCGGCGGCCAGCCGCCCGCCGCCTCCGCCGTCGTCCCGCGCCGCCGCCTCGGCATCGCTGGGGCATCTTCGCCGTCCTCGTCGTCGTCGGCGTCGTCGTCGTCGGCGGCGTCGTCGGCGGCGTCGTCGTCGCCGTCGTCGTCGGCGTCGTTCGTCGCCGTCGTCGTCGTCGTCGTCGCCGTCGCCGTCGTCGTCGTCGGCCCTTGTCCTCGTCGTCGTCGTCGTCGTCGTCGTCGTCGTCGTCGTCGTCGTCGTCGTCCCCGTCGTCGGCGTCGTCGTCGTCGTACCTCTTCCCCCACTTCGCCCGACTCGGGAGGGGAGGCTGAGGCACCGCTGGGAAAGCTCGGGGCGCCGGAGGCGCCGCCAAGTGCACAATCAATGACATAAACGTACGATCTCGGAGGTCCGCGCGGATTCCTCGGATCGGCGCTGGGACGTGTGCATGTTTCTCATATTTGACATCGCTCGGAGGTGTGCACTTTTCTCGGCGGGGACCATCGATGAGCATGTTGTACCTTCTTGCGAAGAGTAAGCGCACGAAGCCGAACAATGCCCGAGGGATGAACGTCCGAGCGATGGCAAGTATAGGGAAACAAATAATGGCATAAACATAGAAACGCGAAGGTCCGCGCGGATTCCTCGGATCGGCGCTGGAGCCCTCCCCCCCTGGCGGCGCCTCCGGCGCCGCCCTTGGCGCGCTCCGCGCGCCAGGGAGGGGGGGAGCTTCCAGCGCGGATCCGAGGAATCCGCGCAGATCTCCGAGTTTTCATGTTTGCGTCATTGTCTTGTCCCCGATCTCCGGCGGGGGCCCTCGAGGAGCAATCCTGGTGCCTCCTGCGACCAGGGCAGCGCACGAAATTTGAACAAAAACAAAAAACCCTTGGGGAGTGGACGTCCGAGCGACGGCGAGACCCTCCCCCCGCCCCCGCCCCCTCTCGCGTGTCCCATCCTTCTCCCCCGTTCGCTGCTGCCCCTCTCGCTGTGCCCGACGCAGCTGCCCTTCCGCCCCGAGCTCCCTGGCACCCCCTGCCGCGGGTGCCGGCTCGTGTCGCTGTCGGAGCCTCGAGGCAGGAGAAGACGCATCCCTCGTTGCCCAGTCTCTCCGATCACCGTGCCCTCCCCGCCGCCCCTTTCGCGCTCGCCCTCTCCGCCCCCCTCCCCGCCGCCCACCCTCCCCGCCCCCTCTCCCCGCGTCGTCCCCTCAGTCGTTGCTCCGGTGTCGGCGAGGCGTGGTTGGCCTTGGTGGTGATTCTGTCGGGATCATTGCCCTGCTCGACATCCGAGTCTGCGAGTAGAGAGGAGATCTGCGCCATGGTAAGGGATGGGAGGGAGGGGTAATTAGGATGTCAGATATGACGCGAGCGCACCTAGCTTGTCCTCCTCCTCCTCCTCCTCCTCCTCCTCCTGCCCCTCCTCCTCTTCCTCCTGTCCCTCCTTGCCTCCTCGTAAGGCGCCTGCACCCCCTCCCCCCCCAACCCCTCGGTGCGCGCCGCCAGTGCCATCGCAGCGCCTCCTCGGCCGCCCTGGCCTCGGCCAGGGCCTCGGCCTGCTGCCCAAGCTCCGCCCTGCTGACGGCGACGACGACGACCATGTCACAATGATTGAGTCGGGCCTGTCCCTCTACAGGGGGAAGATTCAAAAATAGTCAAAAAATAATAGGGGGACCATTTTTGTGACAATGGTTGATCCTCTTTGGAGTATGTTTGGAGTACCTTGAATGTTTTCGCCCCAAAATCCCCCTGTAGGGGGACATGCCCGACCTGACACAATGAGTGCGGTTCAGCTGAGATTGCTGGAGTGCTGGGCGGCAGACGCGTCCGCTCGACGGGTGCTCGCAGCCGAGTGATGTGCCCTGGCCGGGCTGAGCGGATTTGGGTACTGGGCCCGCGCGATTTGCATCGCCGCTCTTGCCTTTGCCCCCCCTCCCCAATCCGTTATCTTGCCCTTCTCCTCATTCAAGCAGTGGCGAAGCGTCCTGGCTCGCTTATAGCCCCACCAAACAGTGTTCTAAGAACCTTCTGTGGTTTCCACGAACTGTTCTTGGAACATTTCTGGCGGAGTCTGGCTTGTTTGAACACATCGGGCTTGTGTTCTCAGAGCCTTGTTATTGTTATTTGAAAATGTTTGGGTTCCAAGAACATTTCGTGGTAGGACTATAGGAATGCCGGGACGGTCGGTCCCTACTTAACTCGTCCCTCCCCTGTGCTCCCACTTATTGATTGCTCCTCATCCTCTCGGGCGTCGCCCTGGATGCGTGGCGCGTCCTCTCCCGCAGTTTATGAGGCTGGTGTACATGATGCGCCGCTGACGGCACCACCACCAGCTTTTTGCCTCCCGGTACTTTGCCTCCAGGTTCCTGTTCAAGGCGTTCCTTTGCATGCATTTCGCTTTCAGCACCGCCTGATCCCGGGGTTTTGCCCTCCCATGGCCTTGACGTGAGGCCCATCCTTCTGTTTTCCTTCCTCTGTTAATCCAAGCTGTGCGCGGCCCGCTTAGCTTCGACCGGAAGAGGCTCGCTCTCGACCCGCGGATCAAAAACAAAAGCGCCCCCCTTGTTTGGAAACGACAGGGCGTTTTTTTACACCGCTTCCGATGCCGTTTTTGTTGCCGGTTCCGACGCCGTTTTTTGTGACCGGTTCCGACGCCGTTCTTGTTGCCGGTTCCGGCTGCAGTTCCAACATCGGCGCCGTTTTTTAGCCGTTTCCGGGCGTCGTTTTTTGTTGCCGCCTCCCTTTCCAAGACACGTTTTTTTTTGTCCGGAAGCTGTGAAAAAAACGGTCCTGCCGTTTCTCTTCCCGTCCCATTCTCCTCCCCCTCCCATCCGTCCCTCTCCCTCCCTCCTCCCATTCCACCTCTTCTAGAGCAGGACCCCTGCGCAGAATAGAGCTGGAACTCGGAGTCCTTCTCCTCCCTCCTTGTCTCCGCCCTTCTCTCCTTTCTCCCCCCCCGTCCCCTGCCCAGCCCCCGCTTGCCCAGCCGCGCCAAAAAAGCCCGAGTCCGGCCACGCGGCGCCCCAGGACTGCCAGCGGCCCCGCACGATCTACTGAGACCCCGTGGCTATTGGGCAGCGCCGTGCCGCGCACGCGAGCCGGGCGAGGTGCACGCGAGCCTGTTCCGCGGCTCTCCTGCTCTCTGGACGCCCGAAATGGGCACGGAAAGAAGGGGTACTCGGGGTTGGACAGACCTACTACCCTGACACGTCGATTGAGGAATTGGCCGTTTTCGGTTCGCGAGAGGGCGTCGCGGCCGTTATTTTTGCGGGTCCAGGTCCGTCGGTTTCGGTCCCAGGCCGTTTTCACTGAGGTGAGGTCTACTAAAGGGAGGTTTGTCCACCGCCGAGGTGCAATGCCCAACAGCAGTTCTTCTTCATTTGGAGCAGGACCCGCTGTCCGCGCCGCCGCGACCTGTGTCCATTCGAGACAGAAGGCCGCCTGCCCAACAGCGGCCGTTGTTGGTTTGGGACAACGTTCAACATTTGTTGTTGGGCATTGTACCCATTTTTTCCGTAATTACCCATTTCGGGCGTCCAAATACTCTCCTTTCTTTTCTTCATCGCGTTGTATCCCAACCGTTCCATTCGCATCCTGAGACTCCACCGCGTATTGGTCAGCATCCCTCCGTTCATGTTGCCGCTGCGCCTCCTCTTATTTGATCGCTTCGGTCAGTCCGCCAGCCCATATTGCCTCGCCGCTTGGTGGCCGTGTTGGGGCCTCTTGGGGGCTTCTGGGAGGCAGTTCTGAGGCCTGTTGGGGGCCGTGTTGGGGCCTATTGGGTCTTTGGGGGGCCTCTTGGGGCTTTTTGGGGTGCCTCTTGGGGGCCCCTTGGGGCCTTTTGAGGCCTCTTGGGGCCTTCTGGGGGCCTCTTGGGGCTGAAGGTTTTACTTTTCGGTTCCTGGTCCCCGTTTTGGGCCCCTCTGGGGGGCCGTTTTTGGGGCCCTCTTGGGCGCCTCTCAGGTTGTCTTGGGGCCATCTTGGGCCGTCTTGGGGTCCTCTTCGAGGCTTCTTGGGCGGTCTTCGAGCGGTTTTGGGGGCCTCTTGGGCCGTTTTGGAGCGTTGGAAAGCCGAAGAGGAGAGAAACGTGGCACATGCGACAAACGTACGTCTTCCGAAAGGAATAACACGATTTTTGTTTGTTGGGGCCTTCTTGGAGAGCCTGGTGCCCATGTCCAGGCCTCCAAGCATGGGGGGCATCGAGGAGCATGGCCGAAGGGAACGGGACGAGCTTGCAGATCTGGTCGTCAGATCACCATCCCCGTGCCCACGCACCTGCCCTGTCTGGCGCTTCGCAGCCGGGGCGTGCAGGATTCCGGCCAGGCCAAACACCACCCCGACACCACGTCAGCGTAGGTTCACACATGTTGCAGCGAACTTTTTCCTCCAGCCCCCGGCCTCCCCTCCCCTCCCCTGACTCCTTCCGTCCTTGCTCCCCCCCGTTCTCTTGCGCGTTGTAGCCTAGAACTGCCAGCCTTGCGTCCGGAGAGCTGGCCGGGCGGATGCCTGCCGCGGGGGCGGGGGAGGGGGGGGGTAGCGGAGGGGAGGGGAGGGGGGAAGGACGGCGCAGGAGGGACGAGGGGGAGAGGAGGGGGAGGCGAGCGAACGGGGGCCAGAGAGGAGCGGAGGGGGAGCCCAAAGGGGGGGCACGGAACGGGAGGGAGAGGGTGGCGGGAAGGAGGGGCGGGGCGGGAAAGGCGGGGGGGGGAGAGGCGAGGAGGGGAGGGAGGCGGCGGGCGGACTGGGGGAGAGAGAGAGAGAGAGAGAGAGAGAGAAAAGGAGGGAGAGAGAGGGAGAGAGAGAGAGAGGGAGCGAGAGGGAGCGAGAGAGCGAGAGAGGGAGATGGTGGTGGTCACAGGAGCATGGCCTGGTCAGTGAGAGAGAGAGAGAGAGATAGTGGTCAGGAGGATGGTGGCCAGCGAGAGAGAGCGAGAGAGAGAGAGAGAGAGCGCAAGAACGATGGTGGCCAGAGAGGGCCCTCCCGCCTGCGCCCCCCCCTGGCCGCGGCGCGGGCCGAGCGACCCCCGCCCCCCCCCCCCTCGGGCGGGCCCCCGCCCGGCCGCCCCCGCGCTCTCGCGGCTCCCCGCGCTCCCCGCGCTCTCGCGGCCGCCCGGTGCCTCCTCCGGCCACCCTCGGGCCGGGCGAAAGGGGGGGAGAGGGAATCTAGACGGGAGGTTCTTCATGATTTTTGGCCTCCGGGGGCCCTAACCGGCCCTCGGGAGCGCCAAAAAACGACCCAGGATGAAAAACCGGTCCTGGGGAATGGGCCCAGACCTCTGGGGGTCGACGTCATGCAAAAATCATGACGTCGGGGGTCTGGGGAAAGGGGGGTTTGGGGAAGGGGGGGTTACGAAATCTGCTGCATGCAGCTGGTTTCGGCCTCACCGAGGGGCCCGTTCCTCGATGTGTACAGGGCCGCCTCCGGCGCCGGGGGGCGCCGGGAAAGTCAGCCACGCGTGAGCTGATTCTCGAACTCCCCCTTTGCTATCCCCCCCTTTCGCCCGACCCGGCACCCGTTTTCCCCGGCGGCGGCGCGGCGTTTTTGTTCGCCCGGGGGGCGCCGCCGATCCCGGGGCCCAGGCGCAGCGGGTCGGGGCCCAAGCCGGGCGTGCCCCCGTATACGAGAAGTCGGGGGCAGCGACAGGGGGGGGACAGGCACAGAGTGAGCGGCCTGAGTAAGGAACCTTTGCTTTTCAAAAGGGGCCTCGGTCGTTCCTTAGGCTTGCATGCGTCAGTCCTTGGGGTAAAAAAAGGGGCTTCGTGCCTTTATTTATCGTTCCTTAGGTCAGGCCGATGATTGTAGGGGGGGGATCGAGGCATCGGCCCCCCCCATCGCCCACTGGTCGCCGACAGGGGCCCGGTAGCCCCAAGCTGCCCAGGAAGGTGCGGACTCGCTATCTCACCATCCACCAAACCACCCCAACCCAACCCGAAGGCTCAGATTTACCCTCGATTTCCAGTGGGGGGGGGGGTCGGGAAATATAGAAAAAACACGTGTGGAACCCTTACCCCCCCCAACCCGAAATTCGGGTCTTCGGGTTGGGTTGGGGTGGTCTGGTAGGTAGTTACTATCAGAGGCACATCGCCGATCTATCGGCGATGTATCGCTGATTCCAAGTCGACGCATCCCCCCCTGTGCCAGTCCCCCCCTATCGCTGCCCCCCAAGAAGGGATTACTCGAACGTAGAAGCAGAAAAGTCTGGGGACGAGGTTTCGAATCCTTGTGAGCATGTTTGGATTATTTTCTTGCCTATTGTTGACTCCTCGTCCCAGATCCGCCCGCAGGAGGACACGCCCGACCTGAGTCCAGGCCTCGCAGAGAGGGGTCCGACAGATGGGGTCGGAGGCTCGCGCCGCACCGCCGATGCACCGCCCCTGCGGCCCCGGTGTGGAGCCCGGCTGCCTCTCCGCGCCGACGGCGCCGAGGCATCGCCGAGGCGTCGGCGACGCGTCGCCGATGCATCGCCGATGCGTCGCCGATGCATCGCCGATGCATCGGTGATGCGGCGCGATCCTCCGAGCCCACCTGCTCAGGGGGGAAAAAGCACCAAGGGCGCCCTTAGAGGGCGCGAAGTCATTCGCGCTTCGCGATTCGGCTCCGATCCCTCATCCTCCTCTTCTCCCCTGGGAGGCGGCGCGAGAGCGCGAAGTTATTCGCACTTCGCGCTTCGCGCAGCGCGAAGCGCGAAGTGGGGAGCCCTTGAAGCACGCACAGACACCATTCATCGCCGGCTCCCAGGAAAATCTGGGGAATCCTGTTCTTGTGCGCATGTCCCAGGGCCCCTCCACCTGCTCGGACCGACTCGGACCCCACTTGGGAGGCCGCGAGACAAAGAGCCACGACCACCACCGAGTGGAGAGTCTCCGGGAGGGAGCCCACCGGGGGCGCACCCGCCGACTTCGGCGCGAGCACTCCTGCGGTGGTCGTGGTCCGTCCTTGGCGGTCCTGGGGCAGCGGCCAGGACCAGGGCGGAGCTGGTCTCGGTGCTCGTGGCAGTGTCTGGCTTGCGCAAGGCATCCTCAAGGTGAGGAGCGACAGAAGGACGTACACGTCCATGGTTGGGCGCGTACGTCCGTTGTGGGCTCCCCACAAGGCTGTGGCCTCGATGTGGTTGTGGTCGCTAGCTGTCCCCGCACCGGGCTCCGCTGCACTTCGTCCGCAGCGGCGGCACTGGCAGGACGATGCAGCCAACCCGCATAGCCAGGGTGAACGTCATTCCAAGGCTACCATCGCATCCTTCCCCTTCGGCCCGTCTTTGGCCACCTTCGATGGTCGCGCCCCGCTCACAAAGTGTCGACGTGGCCTCTTCCAAGGCCTTTGCATCAAGGGCGCCCTCGAGGGCGCCAAGTTACTCGCGCTTCGCGGTTCGGCCCCGACTCCTCCTCGTCATCCTCTTCTCCCCTGGGGGGGGGGGTGCGCGAAGCGCGCGAGGTTGTTCGCGCGTCGCGCAGCGCGAAGCGAGAAGTTAGGCGCACTTCTGAGGATTTTCGCCGTTTTCGGGCTCTCGGGGCCCTCCACGGGCCCCGGGACCCTCGGCCTTAGGCCAGGTGCCGTTGACCTTGAAGGTGGACGCCGACGACGACGATGACGACGACGGAGACGATGACGACGGCGACGGCGACGACGACGAGGACGACGTCGACGACGAAAAACAGCCATGCACTTCAGGAAAGCAATTGAACTCACTCTCATGGGGTTCTCTTGGGAGTGGTCTTGGGGCTCTCACCTATCCTTGGGTTCTGTCCGACTATTTTGAGACTGGGCCGAATCAGGGCTACGTGCGTCAGGCGGGCGTGTGGGGACGTTAGGCGTGCGTAAGATGTGTGCATTGGCTTCCAGAGTGCTGATCATTTCGAGCTTGCCTAACCGAGTTTAGAGTGGTCGGTTTGCTTGTATGGCCGCGTTGCGTTGTTCTGTGTGGGTTTGAGTGCACGAGTTGAGGGTGGTGGCGTCTCTGGGAGAATACCAGGGAGCCCGAAGCGATCTGCACCCTTCTGTGCCCGCGCCAGCCTGTGCGAGGCCAATGGTGAGCCCAGGACTGGAACCGACACACCCGCGGACAGGCCAGGAAGACACCACCACAATGGAGGATGACGATTAATAAATAACCAGGGGTCTTATTCACGCGGCGGCGCCCGGG